GTGGTGTGGTGGTCAGCACCATGGCCTCACAGCAAGAAGGTTCTGGGTTGGCGTCCCCGGGGGAACCAGGACCAGAGGGTTCTGGGTTGGAGTCCCCGGGGGAACCAGGACCAGAGGGTTCTGGGTTGGAGTCCCAGGGGAACCAGGCCCTTTCTGGGTGGTTCTGCATGTTCTCCTGTGTCTGTGGGTTCTCTCCGGGTTCTCCGGCTTCCTCCCACCCTCCAAAAACCTGCATGTTAGGTTGGCTGGACTCCAAACTGCCCTTAGTGTGAGTGTGTGTGGTTGTTGGTCCTTGTGTGTCTCTGTGTGTCCCTGTGATGGACTGGGGACCGTCCAGGGTGACCCCGCCTCTCCCCATTGGCTACTGGGATAGACTCCACCCCCCCAACGACCCCATTAGGGGATAAGAGGTTATAATAATGGATGGATCGATGGACACGATTACGAGGACGTGGTGCTAACCCGCTTTGTCGGACTTCAAAATAAACAGCCCAAAATCCAAACTGCTCTGATGCTGCATGTTAGGTTGTTTGGACTCCCCAAACTGAACCGAAACTGAACCTGTTCGTGCTTTTTTTTTTCTCTGGCTCTCCCAGCTCCCTCCATTTCCTGCAGGTGGATAACCGGCCGTGCTCGCTGTTGCCCTCCACCTGCTTCCCCTACGCCACCGAGGCGGCTAGCTTCCTGCGCGCCGCCATCCGGCTGCAGCCGCCCGCGTTCCCCGTCCTGCCCGAGCTGACCGCCGTCATCGGGCTGAGGGGCCTCCGGGAGGAGATCGGGACCAGGGAGGAGGAGGAGGAAGACCAAGGTGGGATATGGTTTCCTGGTGATGGACACACAAACGTACACAGAGAGACAGAGATATAGACACACAGATATAGACACACAGACACACACACAGAAACACACAGACACACAGATATAGACACACAGATATAGAAACACATAGACAAATGCACACATACAGACATACAGACAAATGCACACACACAGACACACACACACACAGACACACACACAGACAGACACAGAGATAGGGAGCCGGGAGGAGGAAGAGGAAGACCAAGGTGGGCTCTGGTTTCCTGGTGACCCGCTAACGCACACAGATACAGATATACAGTAGACACACACACAGACACACACAGACACAGATACAGACACAGACACACACACACAGACAGACACACACACACATATATAGACACACAGACACACAGAAATGCTTGTCCAGCTTTGAGCTTCATCCAAGCTCAACATCCAGCAGGTTTCTGGTCAGCTGACACCTTTCCCTTCATAAAAAGCGGGATTTCCTTTTCCCATAAGGTGTCACAACATATAACCACTCCAAATGGCGTTTGCTAGCATTTATTATTTTTCTTCTTTTTCTTTTATATGAGAAAGAAAAAGAGAGCTCTTTGGGGGTTTTCTGAGCTGCATTTTGCCTGTTTAACCTCCTGAGAGCCAAAGCTTTTACCTGGTTTCTGCTCTGTTCCAGATCTCTGGATCAGTAGCAGCTGATCAGTTTAATAACCATGTGATAGCATACTATGCTAAAGTGAGTCATTATAGACAAATTCTAACACTCTGCATGAATTAGGACCTGGCCTGTTTATGCCCAGAGGTAACTAGCCAATAGGACTTGATTGTGTCCAGTCCTCCTTTGAGAAGGCGGATAACACCCATAGCATAGATCATGTTATAGCATACTATGCTAAAGTGATTCATTATAACCAAAGTCTAACAATCTGCATGAATTAGGACCTGGCCTGTTCATGCCCAGAGGTAACTGTCCAATAGGACTTGGTTATGTCCAGTCCTCCTTTAAGGAACCCAGGAGATAACGCCCATAGCATAGATCATGTGATAACACACCATGCTAAAGTGAGTAATTATAGCCAAATTCTAACAATCTGCATGAATTAGGACCTGGCCTGTTCATGCCCAGAGGTAACTGGCCAATAGGACTTGGTTGTGTCCAGTCCTCCTTTGTGGAGCCCAGGAGATAACGTCCATAGCATAGATCATGTGATAGCATACTATGCTAAAGTGAGTAATTATAGCCTAATTCTGTCACATCCCATAATTACCCACAATGCTCCTCTGCCTGGTTTTCCCAGCCCCAGCCCCGGAGCCGACCCCGGCCTGGATCTGGGCGGTGGTGGCCGTGTCCATCGGGCTGCTGCTGGTTTTGCCCCTGTCCGTGTTCCTGGTGACGCGTCGTCTCCGGGGGCGACGGTCCGAGAGGGGCGTGGCGAGGCGGAGATCAAAGGTCGCCGAGGACGACGGCGGGGGCGGGGGGGGGCAAAGCCAAGGCCTGGATACAGCACGCCACGCACCAGGACCAGAGGCCCAGAACCAGCCGGGAGAAGGACAAGATCAGCCTGAGGAAGAAGAAGAAGGCCAAGGAGGCGGAGAAGAAGAGGAGGAGGGAGCCCCTGGGGGAGGACGCCATCCGGATGAGG